GTCTACTGCAGCAAGAAAGCTTCTCAGACTGCTGGATTGCTGTTTGGAGGGCTAATATACTTTTGGATTTTTCTAGAAATGAATGATAATGCAACCTGGCAGTATCTTTGTAAGACAACATACTTAAGTACTTAACATTTGGTACCCTAATTAGAAGATTTTGGATTACTTAGCCTTTCACCAGAGACCTTACAGTCCTGCCGCCCATTCTAAGGTATATATAAGTATTACATATATGTCTAGAAAATAATACCTAGATAATTTTCAATTTTTAAAGAAATACAAAATTTCCCTGGAAAAAAATAATCTTATTACATTGAAGAGCATAATAAGTCATCCTTAATATATTTAGACCTCCTCTCTCTCTCTCTCTCTGTATGAATATATGTATTTCTCCTATTCCTCTGTATTCATGTATGTTTGTATATACAGACATATAGATAGGCATAGTCGTCTTCATCTGAAGATATGATAACCAGTTGATCAGTTTCTTCAGTGACATATATTTAAACCAGAATGCAGTCCCCCAGGAAAATGCTATCCCTGTCATGTATATCCTCATGTAAAAATATCATGTTTTCTACTAAATTCATATTCCTGCCAATTATGTTTGGAAGATCATGAGACACAGGGCAGGGTTCTGACTTCAGCCACAGCATCTTCATATTGCTACTCTGAATGGGAAGTTGAAGATTTCTCTTTGTGGCAATAATCCCTGCTACACACAGAGAAAGTGCATGGGCCTTATGTCACTTCTAGAGTAGGAGATATTTTGAAAAGGAGATGCAAACCAAAAGGAAGCTCCTACTACCATACACTTGTGTGATATAGTAATTTGAATACCAGGATTCAGGCTCTGTTAGACAGTAAGGGAAGTGAATTCCTGATTTGAGGAACCATCTGTGCATATGTCCTGACCTAAGTCCCAAAGGTTCAATAGAAGGAATTAGTTGTGCCAGGAAGCATAGCCAGGGGGAATGTACACTGCACTTAACTGATTTAATCAA